CCCCCTCAGTATTATATATAAAGCGGAGTGTCCGCCATTTTTCCAGTCTTTTGCGAATGCTGTTCGCTGTGCCTCGTGCCTTCTGCTCTTGTTTACCAATTGCTTTGTTCTTTGTTCTTGTTAAACTTGTTACTCGTTATACTTAATTCCAAGTTCTTTTCCCTGTTTGATATCCTCTCTTTCTCATTCTCCTTTCTAAAAAAAAAAACCCCAAAATATTATCTTTTCCCTCTTCACTATCTTCTCTTTTTCCTCTTTTGATGGCGCAGAGGAGGCACAGATTGTGCGGGTCTGCAGGAAACATCTTAGACCTGCAGCAGGACTTTCTTGGTTACAGGTTAAGAGGAGTATGACATGGCATATGGAAGAATCCCTAAATTGAGCAACCTGCCCATTGGCTGATCTACACCCCAAGCTGCATGCTGGTGGCCCTTTAACAAGGGGAAATTTCGCTGGGACATGGGTTGAATTCAGCCCAATGCCATCCACCTAAAAAGTTGTGATAATTCTGCCTGGCCATTAACTTCCTAACAACCTGCATTGCTGTGGGAAAGGCGGAAACCCTGTGAGGCAGGCCAGTCAGCCTCACCATGTAAATACTCCTTCCCAGCCCCATCAACCAACAGCTGACTGATGTCTGCAGCAATGAAACTATTCTCAGAGGGAGAGTGTATCTTGTAAGTTTGCAGCCATCGGTGCAAAGAGAAAGGCCAAGCCAGGGCTGCAGCTCATTTAAGCAGCCACAGCACAGATGGCAGGGGAAGCGTTCCCCTTCTTGCTTCCAACTCCCTCTCCCGCCGCCAGCCCAGTACACCCAACTGGGCAGAGGGAACTGCACTGATAAGAACCTCCACAAACACAGCCAGGACTGCCTCCCCTTTCCTGACATGGCCATTTGTGCCTTGACAGAAACCACAGTGCCTGGGGCAGCCTGGGAATCAAGCTTATGGCATGAACAAAAAGCCCCCAAAACCGAGGGTGCAGAATAGTCATAATCTCCACACAGTGGTGCTCCCAGATACTTGGAGGGGTGCAGACAGTTTCACTTGTGCCCCATTTGCCAGGATAAGGACTGTTCCAGTCCTGCCCAGAGGATTCCAGTTTGACAGCTTAAATTTCTCATGGATAAATTAAATTTCTCATAATCCAAGGCCGCATTGCATCTGGATGGTCAGTTCCAATCCAAGCATTCACATTGCGACACAAGCTGTGGGCTGTGCCATATACTGTATACTGTTACTTAAGAGAGCTACCACACAGAAACATCAATGAGCCGAAGGAAAAGACATCAATGTGCCTGGATGTTTAAATGCACTGGGATTGCTTTGAGTTTTACAGTGGCCCTCCTTCTGGCATAATACCTTAATTCAAGCAATTGTCTGAGAATTTCCCTTACACACACCCAGCTAGGTAGCCATTAAAAAAACACCACCCAAGAACTACTTTTCTCTTGTATTTGCTTTAAAAGACTTATCTCAGCCAAGAATGTGTAGTTCTTTGAAATCTTTTTCAATAGCAAGATTAGCTTCAGTATAGCTCACATCACCCAAATGCCAGTTGAAACATATCACTACAGATAAACTGATTCTGTGATACTCTGTCTGATGAGGAAAGCATGAACAATTCTGTCTGCACAGTAAGTGGTTCATCATAGATCAGAGGCAGTACAGCCTTTGAATGAAGGAAGACGAGCTTCTCTAAACAATTCTTGGATGGAAGTACTTCTTCTATGGCATCTTCAAATGCAATAGCAACAGAAGAAAAGGCCTGTCTCCCTCCAGCTGCCCTAAAGATCCACACCACAATTAGACACCTGCAGTACACACTGAGTGCAACTTGCATCCTGGTCATCTCCCCCGTTGCCGATTGCCCTGGTGAGTTCTGCAAATGAATGGTCTGCCAGATACAGCTGCATGGGAGAGTGTGCTTTAAAACAGGCTCCATCTTAATTTGTTCATCCACTTGATCAGTTGCCCATGTTCTATGGGCAACGTTCAAAGTGAAAACAAGTTTTTTTTTAAATGATACAATTAGCAATGTGTGAAGAATCCAGTTTGTGGGTAGGAATCTACCAGATTTTCTCAGCTCAGCTCCTCAGGCCCTGATGTGTTTCTTCTCTACTCTAATCCCAGCTTGTGCCAAGTGTTTGCATGGGTGTCTGGCAGGAAGCAAGGTCAATGCTTGTGCAGGTGTAATGACTGCACAGGCCCACTGCCCAAGCCGAGTTCTGCTTCCGCACATGACTTGAAGGCTTTTTGTGTACTTAGCAAGATCATAATTCAGCACAGAGGAGCCTGCTAGCATTCCCAAGTATTCATGGACTTTCTCTTGCTTGGTTTGCTTCCTAGGCCAGAGCCAAGCATGGGAAAGAGAACCAGCAAGCACAAGAGAACCAGTTTTCATAGGGAAATTTGCATCATTACTTCCAATATGGCAGATTAAAGCACACAGATGGGAGCTACATCAAGCAATAAGCCCACGGAGTTGTATTATTGGGATACTGATTCCTAGTGTCACCTTTGAATCCTAATCAAACCTGGTGATCAGTGATATACTCCCCAGGATTGGAAGCTGCTGCCCACATATATTTTGTTCTTGAAAAATCTGGGATACTTCTAGTGCTTGTGCACATTTACATTATATTCCTGTGATGTGGGGGTTAACAGATGGACAGAAAATTGAACTGACTGGTACAAAAACAATTAAATTCCAAGTATGGAAGTGTAAGTACACACCAGTTGTTCAGTGGACTGAAGATCTTGTTACTCTTGTTGCATTTGAAAATATATCCTGTCAATTTCATCTGCTTGCTTATGTATATATGGTCTGCTTATATTAACAGAATAATAATAATCAAAACAAAATACTCTTTTGAGTATACACATCTATATTTTGCAATAAGTGTATCTTGCAACTGATTGTACCAATTCTTTTGTAAAAAGTTAATGCAATTGGATGTTTTTATTCTTATTTTTCTTATGGTCTTACTATTGGTGTTATCCTTTGTAGGAATTTCCTCTTTTTCTTTTGCTCTGTTAAAATTCCAAATGCAATCTAAAAGCCAAGTATTTCAGTTTCAAAATTTCCTCCAATATCACTATGCAATCAGTCCATGATTTGCACTTGCCAGAAGATGCCTCACCAGATTGTCATGAGTGTAAAACCATTCCTTAGTAAAAACAGAAACAAACAAACAACTCTTTTTCATTATATCCGGCCATTTCTATAGCTTCTGCCTGTTTTCTTACATGTCTTAGCTGTCCATAAATCTTGCATGACCCAGTCTGTCTGTTCTTTTGCTATGGAAATTTATCTTATTTAAAAGTTCCTTTCTTTCTATATGATTTCTTTTTTATGTATGTGAAAAGAAGTCTGTGCAAGATCCCCTTGCATACATCCGCTTACAAATGACTTGCAATAAAGTGTGTGTGTGTGGGGGGGGGGTCCAAAGAACATTTGCAAATGCAAATTCAATATAGTGACTGAAAATGTCCAGTTTCTTACCCCATCTTTACTTAAGTCATTCTGAATAATCCCAGAGCTGATTCTGAATAACTGAATGACTTCCAACATTAGGAGCTGAAAGCAGCTACTTGTTATGGGACTGGGGTGTAATTGCAAAAGCAGTTCGATACAGGGATAACAGTTATGCACAGAGGATCAGCAAAAGAAATGCTTTGTCCCAGGATGGTCTCTTTTCCACAAATCAATAGACTAAATCTGGTTATTATCCCTCTGAGAGCTGGGTAACTCCCTGTAGGGCTCCTTGCCTGCAGATCTGATCTCTCCCATTGCCCTTCCAGATACAATCAAAGCCTTTCTTCATCAGATCACCAGGAGCAAATTCCTGTGAGAGAGATTAAGAACGTCATCCTTGAATTTAAAAAATGGTATCACTCTCTTTAGAGGGTGCCATGGAACACTCGATGCATGTCTGCCTGTCCTGATCCATACAGCCAGTCTGTGGTTCAGCAAGTCCTAAGAGAGTTTGGGAATGCAGACTCTGGTAATAATTATCAGAATGGAGTATCTCGCCTTCACCAACAGAAAAGTGGGAAGCAGAGGTTTATTTACTTAGGTTGTCCATTGAGATGTAACTCACATCACTTTTTCTTTCCGTGTTTGTTTTTTTTTTGGGGGGGGGGTGTCAACATCTTAGATCCAGGAAAGGGGCTGAGAGCACACACTATTTGATATGAGCCTGTTCTTCCCCCAACAAAAGCCTCTCACACCCGCAACAGAGCTTTCAGCCTGACTTTGCACTGGCATTGGACCACTGAGATATACCAAGATGGGGGGCTTCCATCAGATCCTACATTTCTTGGGACACTATATCTGCACTATAGGATTCTTTCCTTAGTCCATTTCAAGGACTGATTTCTTGACGTAATATTAAGCGTTTTCGTCTCCTAACACCTCATCGCCCTTCTAAGAAGGATTTTAGTTCTCAAAAATATTACATTTTTCACATGAAATAAAACCTATGTTAGAAAAAGCAGAAGCAGGCTCTGCAACAAAACGTTGCAGTGCGGTGCACTCCATTCCCTTCCAGTTTCCACCTCCTGGCAACACGCTTTATCCTCATTGGTTTCTATTTTAATATCCTTACTTCTTTCTTCCGCCCCTAAAGAAGGGGAACTTCTAACCTTATATTTATTTTTCTTTCAGATCTAGTTCTAAACGTTCCCGCACATGGAGGATTCTACCAACTCTACTTGGGAACTGGAAATCGCGTCTTTAAACTAACCCAAACCCTCACATATTAAATGGCAACGCGTTGCTCACTGTTTGGTACTGTGCTTTCTATGTGTCACGTGAGATTGCCCGGAATGGAATCTTCTCTCTTATTGGCCGACTGTCTAGCTCGCGGCTAGGTAATGAGGCAAGAGCCGAGGGAGTTCTTCGTTCTCCATTTTTCCTTAACTCTATGGTTCCGGGCATGGGGGGGGCGGGGGAGAGAACACGAGTCTTGCGCATGCGTGTCTGTCGCTTTTCCTTTGCGGACTTCCCGTACTGCTGGCGACAGGCGTGGGAAGGAGGCGGCGGCGGGAATGATCGTTGCTGAACTTTGCCAAGGGAGATCTGGAAGAGTTGAGGATTCTGCAAGTATCCCCGGGATGGAAGTGGTGACCGGCACTGCACTGGTCTCTCTTTTATGATACCAGAGTCTCTTGCACATAGTTGAGGTAGCCGTGCCACGAAGGACGTGCAACTTGATATTACTGCATCTGTACTCAGAAATACATTCAAATGCTGCAGCAAGAACTAATTTTACTATTAAGAAAGGCAGGTGCATTCCCTCCTGCTATACTTTTTCCACTAATTGTTCTTGTATTGAAATGTTATGACATGAAAGCGCATGCTTTTACCAGCTTTCAGGTACATTTGGCTGAGTGCTTAACTATGTATCAGGATGTTTCGTGCAAATATAGTTCCTTTTTAAAAAGAGGGGGTTCAGTTGTGTTTTTTGTATGTTTTTGTTTTGCTCACATCTGCAACTAAAATGCAGACTATTTTCTGTCTGCCATGATTCTGTGTTTCCTTTTCCATTGTATATTTTGCCCAGGTTAGAACATCGGTATTTGGGATAGCAAAATGTGGTTCTAATATTTATGTAGTTTGAGGTGGAGGCCAGGATGGGGCCTGGTAGAACCCTTAAGTAACTAGAAATTGGATTATAATCTCGGGGAAAATAATTGCTTGGACAACTATGAGGAGAGTGTTGTGAGAACAATGTATTTTCATTGTTGACTTCCTCTCCTTCACCAGCTGTAGTTTAGGAAATTTCTTCATTTAGGCAAGAAGTAGACTAAGTATTTTATTGAAAGAATTGTTATCCTGTTTCTCAGGGGAAAAAGTTTCTGCCTACACATTGACAATCTAAAAGGTTACAGTTTGAGTAGGCTCTTGCGTTGCCATTCATGTTTTTTTTTTAATGTGATTTTGTTTCTGTAATGCTGCTCTTAAATGTTCCTTGAAACAAGCTTAGGGAGCAATTCCTCACTGCCTTACACATTTACAAAATCAGCCAGAGCTGTTCAGCTTCATATTCATTCAAATAAGCTGATTGCAATGCATTCTATTCTCCTTACTTGTAGGGAGCTCTTTCACCCGGATACAACTTGTGTACTTATTTTTGCAAAATAAATCCCTTTTCTTTCTGCCTGCAGATTTGAAACAGATGCTTCTTTTCTGTGCCTCAAAATGGATGGACTTCTTGGAACAGGGAGAAGACTACTTCCTGACTCATTGAATTTGGTTGCTCGTTGTAAAACACAATGGCAATGCGGCAGGTTTTATTGCAATGTTCGTGCCAAAAAATTGGTATCCCAGCATTTTCAGTCAGTGAATCTGCGGGAGGATAGTTTGGCATCACAGGAGAGCAAACCTGGAGAAATGACATGTAAAAGTCAAAGGCTAATGTTACTAGCAGGACTGATTTGTCCCAGCAGCCCTGGCTGCTACCATTATATGCCCTACACTGTCCGAGCAATGGAGAAGCTCATCAAGGTCATAGATCAGGAAATGCTCGCCATAGGAGGTCAGAAAATCAACATGCCCGCACTATGCTCAGCAAAGCTCTGGAAAGCCAGTGGAAGGTGGAAACTGATGGGCAAAGAACTCTTGCAACTAACAGACAGGCACAGCCAAGAATACTGTCTGGGACCTACCCATGAAGAAGCCATTACAGACTTAATAGCTTCTCAAGGCAGCTTGGCCTACAAACAACTTCCTCTCTTGCTGTACCAGATAACCAGAAAATTTCGAGATGAACCAAAACCTTGTTTTGGGTTGCTGCGTGGCCGTGAGTTCTATATGAAGGATATGTACACCTTTGATGCCTCCAAGGAGGCTGCCCTGCAGACGTATGCTCTTGTGTGCAAGGCATACTGCAGGATATTCAATAGATTAGGCCTTCAAATTGTGAAAGTCCAGGCAGCTACAGGTAGCATTGGGGGGACAATGTCTCATGAATTCCAGCTCCCTTCTGACATTGGAGAGGACCAGTTAATGATGTGTGTGAATTGTGACTTTTCAGCCAATGTGGAAACAATACACCAAGGTGAGACACACTGCCCAGCTTGCAAGGGAGAACTAGTTAAGCGCAAAGGAATTGAAGTTGGTCATACCTTCTTCTTAGGCACCAAATACTCTTCTGTTTTCAATGCCTCTGTCCACACTCCTCAAAATACGACTGTTCCAGCTGAAATGGGCTGCTATGGACTCGGTGTTTCTCGGATTCTTGCAGCCTCCATTGAGGTGCTTTCTACAGAGAATGCCATTCATTGGCCAAACCTTATTGCACCTTATCACATCTGCCTTATTCCCCCAAAGAAAGGCAGTAAAGAGGAGAAAGGAGCAGTGCTCCTGGAGGATTTATATGATTCTATTGTCCAAGCAATCCCACATGTTGAAGAGGAAATGGTGCTGGATGACCGGACCCAGCTCACCATTGGTAAAAGGTTAAAAGATGCTAAGAAACTTGGATACCCCTATGTTATAATAGGTGGAAAGGGAGTTTTGGATGAACCTTATCAGTTTGAAGTCCAAAATCAAAACACTGGTGAAATACTCTTTCTTAGCAAGGAGGCCATTATTGACTTGCTAAGTAAACTCCCTAAATAACTGAGTATTTTGGCTTCTGAATGCTGAGATATAAGTGTAGTATTAAATGTATGGTTATGGGGACATATGGGATCTTTGTTGGTTTGATTTATATTTTGTGAACTAAAGATCAGAAGAAAGACAAATGTTGACTTGGTTTGCGTGACATGACACCCAGAATGTATTTTCCTATTGTATAAAGTCAGACAAGTTACCACAAAGTGGCTTGTTTACTAGTAACAAACCACCATGACAACCCATAGCTTATTCTCAAGGTTGTTTCACCTACAATGGGTTGGTGAGTCATCTGAACTCAGACACGGTGTGGCTTCCATCCCAAAGCTTAAAGTGCAAGTGTTTGCCCATTGCTTTCAGTGTCTGGAAGAGTTTGTTCTGTTCAGAGCAGTGTAGATGTCCCACATGGAGGCTTCCCACCACTGAGTTCAACAGAAGGGCGCTATTGTATTTGCATCCAGCTTCTGGGCTTCCAATGGCATCTGGACCACTGTGGGAACCTTTGGTCTGATTCAGCACAGCTCTTCCTGCATTCTTATTAACAGGCCAGTCTTTGGCTCCAGCACCCACCACGCAAACTGATGAGGCTCGCAGAAAAGTCTCTTCACCAAGAATCTGTGTGCAAGCCAGATGGATCTCCCCAAATGCTAAATTGCATATTTGCCTTTACAAAGCACAACCAAATACTAATTTTACAGAAGGCAAACTGGTAATATTCGGAGAAACACAGACATACAGGCAACATGCAAACCAAAAGAACACAATCCACACAAATGCACATAAGTCAAAGGCAAAGCACTCCTTCCCCTTCTCATCCACCCCTTGTGCTAGGGGCTAGCACTTCATTTTGGAGCATGCCAAGCCTCCCAATTAAAAAAAGATGTTTTAAAAATTAAAATATTCTAAAATATATACTAATTGGAAGGCTACATAGGTGCCAAGAGAAATGTCCATAGGCCCTTTACTGCATGTGCTAGAGGTTGGCCAATTTTATGCTTTTCTTCTGTAAAATAGGCAAAAACATCCATTGTACAAACCCAGCACCTTCAAACTCCACCCAGCACCTCCATCCACTTTTAGAGGGCCCTTGAGGCAAGTTGGCGGGAAATAAATCTAAAAAATAAAAATATACACTGTCATGATCATAGGTACTTCTACAGAATACTCCTTTTCACTTCTGGGTTTGTAACAACTGGTGTGGGTGAACTTGCCAATATCACTATGCACCTTTAGACTCTGCAAAGCTTTTCCTTTGTTACTGATGTAATGCAGAAAGAAAATGACCAGAGATAGGGCAGTTCAAAAGAAACATACTATTTTTCAGGCTACTTCTCTCACAATGAGAGGGAGAGAAAGAGGAAACGTATGCCTCATATTCCTCTCTGTGTTGCATAGGATCTACCTCCGCCCAGTAAAATTGGAAAGGCTTACTTCAGGGCTTAGGAAAGAAAAGGTTCTGCCTGTTTTAGCGCCACACTGGACCCATAATGAATTATAAGAACCAACTTTAGCTTGCTCTTCTGAATGATTCTTTGTCCAAACTCAATAGTTAACTGATCATATAAGGGGCAGGATCAAGCAAGGGACAGAGTCAGACAGTAAAGGATCCTGGATTTGGGGAGAAAACATTCAATTCTGTGGGAAGTACCTGTGGCATGCCAATAAGCACCACTCCACAAACATGCTCAGCTACATATGTATTCGAAGTCTTGAGTGCTACTGACAAGCAAGTTGTCATGAATGTTTTTAATTATGACACAAAGTTCTCCATTGTGACACTTGCCGGTGAGCCTGTTTTGTCCATCAGAGGAAAAGAAATGTAAAGTCAGTAAACAGCTGTGAGCTTCCACCAACAAGTGAGTGCCATTTTTTCATTCTTGGACCCATTCCAGTGTGTTTCTGGTGTGGAGTCCACCTGTTCCTCAGTGTGCAAACTAGCATCCTTAACTGCAGATGTAGCAGCATCCTTTACACAAGATTAGTAATAACATGACACTTAAAACTGTGTTTTCAGCATCTGTAAGATTGGCGGCCCTTTTTCAACCTAGTACCCAGCTGATATTTTGGTTGGCAGTGCTTATCGGTCCCAGCCAATACAACAAAGGACAAGAAGTTGAGGTTAAAACATTTGACAGGTACCAGACTGGGGAAGCCTGAGTGAATTTAACATGTTAAGATCCTGTGATAGTGAATCTGAATGTCCATATATTCTGGGTTAAAATCTTCGTTCGGCATGGCCTTGGCCATATAACTAATGCCCAGTTTAGCCTGCTGGAGAGTCTAAATTGCCTTGGAGAGAAAGATTCAAGTGAAACTTCTCTCTGGTCTGATTAGTTTAGTTCTACAGAAACAAGCATTGCCCACTACATGAATAGGGGCAACCACATGACACAGAAGTTATACCCATTTTCAAAGCATCACTGGACAAACTTTTCTTGTATCTCTGACAAATCTAAGGCTGAACTGGGTGATTTAGAACATAATCCTATGTATGCACAGACAGGAAAAAAGGCCTACAACTACTAACATGCTGGTAGTTGAAGGAGTTATAGGCCCTTTTTCTGTTAAAACAATGCACCCTTACAATACTTTAAGAGACTTGGTCAGGAATACAGCCTTGCTCTGAGGTTTTACATCTTGAGTCTATATTCTCTTGAGAATAACACTGATGTAACCACATTCTAATATTTCTTCTCAAAATATAAATTGGGAATTAAATACTTAATACAAAGTCCCCAAACGGTCTCCTCTGGTTTTTGCTCTAAAAGAAGTAGGAAGGCTTCCCTTGTTGCCCCAAGTTTGAAGGAGAGAGAATATTGCTTTAAGAATGGGAGGAAAAAAATGTACCCACTTGACATCCTTCTGGGTATATCATTCCTATTTCCCGTTATCTTTTTGGGCAGTGCTTGTAGCAATGGATCAGCCTTTGCCAACCAACTGCTCAGATTTGCTGGACTAAAGCTCCCATTGGTCCTAGCTGGCCATGCTGCCTAGAGATGGTAGAAGTTTGGGTCCAGCACATATGGAAGGCCCCCGATTGGAAAATCCTACATTAGATTTTCTGTGGCACAGTACATCTGTGCTGCAAAGTATTTTGGGACAACACTGATGTGATAAGTTCCTGATTCTCTTACAGGAACACTGCTCACGTTATAATCACCCACTTTCAAACTCTGAAATAGCTGAGTATGGGTGTCAGGCTATTGGTCAGGATTCTCCCAAGGGAGGTTGCGAGATCTCGTGCATGATTTACAGCAGAAGGATATCTCTAAGCTTCCCCAGTTGGTAAAGATTCAGGTGCTTTTTAGGTAGTTCAGTTCATATGACAATCTGGAAAAAGAATCTTGATAAGTGGGAAGCTCTCTGGAAGAAAGATACTAAATTTACTGCTAGTCAAGTGTTAAGAGAAAATTTGTATAAGATGTTTTTTCAGTGGTACATTACTCCAAAAGATATTGGAAAAAATAGATATTATAGATACTATAGAATTATAATAGAAAATGTTGGAAATGTAACAAGGTAGATGGGACTTTCTATCATACGTGGTAGATTTGTGAATTAAAAATTGGAAATTGATACATGCAGAAAATCTTTAAAATTACATTTCCTATGAGTCCCAAGAACATGCTTTTGAATATCACGCCAGAGACCCTTTTAAAAAACATGTCAGAGTTATTTGACTATGGCAGCAAGAATCACAATACCTATTAAATGGAAATCACCAGAGCCCCAACCATTGAAGAATGGAGAAACAGATTAGCAGAATATGCAGTGATGGCAAAGCTAGCTAATTAGGTAAATAGAAGACAGAAGAATTTAGTGACAAATGGAAATTTTATTGTGCTTAGCATTACTAATGGAAGTTCAGGGAAGTTTGGAAAAGAAAAAGGGAAGCAGTAGAATTTAAACTGATTAGAAATTCTCTTGATGTATAGAATAATTATTTTTTGTAAAGTTGCACAGAGTATGGGAAGATAGGAAGAGAGTCACTTTTGGGGGTTACAATACATAAGCTGTATTTGTTTAAAATTCCCTTGGCAACTTTGTCTATTTTGTTTACTTTAGTCTGTTCTGTTTATACTAGGGATTTTTTTCCTATTCTGCATTTTCTTCTATGTATTTGTATACGTTAAGAAAATAAAAATTATTTTAAAAAAGAAAAGAAACTATCCCTCCAGAGTGATTCCAAAGATGAAGGAAAAGAGAGAAATGGTCCCTGGAAAGAAAAAGTCAGCTGAAATTCTAATAACCCAGCAATGCTCTCTGATGTCCAAGACACCTCCAGAAGATTTCTTGTTAGAATATTGCATATTACAAGCTATTTCTGAAGGTGAAGAGTGACCCCTAGGGCTTGGAAAATAAAATGCATATGGCTAGATCAAACTGCAATAGACAAAGTACCAAAGTACACAGAGTACAATACACAAAATGCATTTCTTTTACGTCTGTCCTCTGTGTGGATCTGATGATGGATCAGCTAACTCTAAGGAAGTAATTCATAAACCTGAATTCAATAGACTAGGTTAATTCTTCTAAAATGGCACCTTCATTAAATTTAGTGTATGAAGCCCTGGGGAAATCAATCAGTATACATAATCAAACTGGCTTAATATAAATCACTTTCCTATGTTTCCATCCAGCCAGCCTCAAAATTCAAAGAACCCATCTGGAGCACAGGAATGTAACTGAGGACCAAACCAAACATGATTTTAAATGTGTGTCTAGTACCTATGGCTTTTCCAGTGTTATTCTAGAGAAGACACCCAAGCTCCAATCTTTATGAGGAGCCTAGCATGGAGTGGTGGTAGCTGGAGGGCATTTAAGATCTGAATCATTATGCCTACTCTGGAGTGAAAATGATAAGGTCATTGGTGCTAGATACAAATGTCTGGTTCGGTTTTTAGCAATACATCAAGGCAACCTTTAGTAGTCAACCAAGTCAGGTGAAGACTGCAACTGGAGGCCCTCCAGGCAGCTTGTACTTGTGCTATAGTCTGTTGTGATTTTGATTTCATGATGGACTACCTTAGTTTTGAAGACAGTAGAAAATCCATATAAATTGCTCAGGATTAAGAATTAACAGAAAACCAACTGAAAGAAGACTAATTTTTATTGTACATATCTCAGTAAG